CTCTCACACACACACACACACACACACACTCTCTCTCTCTCTCTCACACACACACACACACACTCTCTCACACACACTCACACTTTTTTTTCTTCTTCTTTTTCTTTATTTCATGTTAAAATTTCTAAAATCAATAAAGACAGTGTTGAAAAAAAATCTTATCGACTCTTTACCGTTAGATTATTTTTACTCAAGGTTATGACAGATAGATAAATAGACTTTGCAAAAGGGAGAAACCATTCCCCATATCTTGTATCATTGATGTCAAAGGTTGTGTGTTCAATCAAACTCCAATATTTTGGTGCAAATTCATCTGTCACTGTTAATATATCTAACACTAATGCCTGGTCAATCACTGCTGTTCATGCATTTACCAAACTGTTAAGTCTGTGCAGTTCTCAGTAATTAACTGTGGCACTGAGAAATATCAATGTTTGGTTTGGAGAACATTTGTGTTGGTGTTTGCATGATAATCAGTGCTGGTTCTGTCTCCTCTTGATGTTCACGCAGCATCAGCTCCATCTTGTGGTTCTTTTGCCATCTATTCTCAAATCTGTCTACAAGCTCCTGATTGCAGTCACATGTCTTAATTTACTAAGGTTTGCATGTGTGCGAAGCATTTTACCTCCGAGATCACAGATGCATCTGAACGGCGACAGATCGAACGCTGTGATCACGTCACGACCGCAGATGTTCCAGATGGAGTTCATCAGGTGCATAAACTTCACCATCTCCTCATCAGACCTGAACACACACACACACACTCACACGCACACACACACACACACACAGACACACAGACACACACACACACACACACACACACACACACACACACACACACACACACACACACACACACACACACACACACACAGACACAGACACAGACACACACACAGACACACCAGGAGACCACAGTCACATTCACTTCACAAGATCATTTTGACTCTTTTAACTAATAATCTGACTATTATTGATTTGATGGCTCAATTGGAGCCTTCATACACTAGCAGTCAAACGTTTGGAATAATTAAGATATATAAGACTCTAATACAGTTTTTTTCAACTGCTTACACACAGAATCTTCACTAGTCGCACAGTTTCTGAAAGCTGACACTCAAACAGGAGAAGCACACACCAAATCTGCAAAACCATACACTAATTCTCAGTTTTCAATTTCATAAAACACGTTTTTGCACAACACAACACACAATTGTAGCACACACAAATCTAACAGGAATTAATATTATGGCAAAGGTGTTTGCTTCTGAGATGTGTTTGTGATATTTTGAATGCAGAGCTTCATTTTGGAAGGTATTTTGCATTTTGTGTGTGCAATTCTTGGATTTGTGTGTAAAGTTTGGGGGGAAAAACTATGTGTGTAAGCAGTTAAAAAAACCCTGTAATTATTATACTGCTTTCTGAAGATCATGTGACACTGAAGACTGGAGGAATGATGCTGAAAATACAGCTGCGCATCACAGAAATAAATTACAGTTTAACACATATTCACACAGAAAACACCTGTTTTAAAATGTAATAATATTTCACAATTTTTACTGTATTTTTCATTAAAATTCTTAACTATTGCAAACTGTCAAACAGTAGAGTATAAACACCTCAATCGATCCAACAGAGTTCGATCCGGTTTTGTTTGTATCAAAATGTATCAAAATTAAGAGAACTTTAGCCTAAAAATAGAAAAATATCTATCAATGAGATCAGAAAAAAAATCTTGTTTTCTCTTTGAACGGAGTTTATTTTTCTTTAGATATTTGTTTTGGAAAACAAGACAAAAATACTGTCAATCTCAGACCACACTTCTAGTGCAGGGTTTTATTGTTAACTAACACTAAAAGTAACTAGTATTATTATAATTTAGTTTTTGGTTACACTTTATTTTAAGCTGTCCTTGTTACAGTGTAATTATACTGAGTAATCTTAATTAACTACATGTACTTACTATATGGTTTAAGGTACTTGTATGTAATTATACATAATTAATTGTTATTATTATAGTAAATACATGTAACGTGTGTAACAAGGACACCTTAAAATAAAGTGTTATCTTTTTTACTCAAATCAAATACAGTAAAATATAAATATTACGCGAAACCCAAATGAAAATGACAACTTTTGCCTTGGCAACTAAGTGAAATAAGTTAAACTGAAGCACTACAATAACCGAACTAAACCTCAGAACTCACCTGTACATGGCTTCAAACAGGTCCTTGGAGTTCACGCCGAAAGCCTTCTCGTACTGGTTCTTCCCTTCTCTGAGGAGGAGGAGTCACGAGAGAGAAGAAGGCTGACAAACAGCAGTCAGGATAGAGATGTTTGTGTATGCAGAGAGTTTCTCACCGGACGGCGTCGCTCAGGTAATGCCAGCACAGGTAGATGGTTCTGGAGCTGTACTCGATCGACTGACACAGAGACCTCGGGCTGGACTTGATCAGGAACATGCTGGACATTTCTGTGTTACTGTAGAGAACTAGATGAGGAATTAACCACAACACACTTACATTCAGCTGTAAAGCATTAAAGCCTTTCAGTACAGAGGAGAAACTTCACTGTAAATGTGACTGATTAATTCTGTGTCTCTCGTTTGATTTAGAAACCATTTTTGCTCAGAAATTGCTAGTAAACGTCACAAGTATTTACAAAGAACCTGCGAGTAATATTGAAATAAACATGACATTTTGAAGTGGAAAACCTAAAATAGTATTTTTGTGGAAATAGTCTCCAATAGTCCTTATTTATAACATTATTTCAAAAATTTAATTAAAACCTTGTTACTTAAAATGAAATAAAAAAAATATATATATTTTTTAATCGACTTGGTTTAGTTGCAAAAGCAACATTTTTCATTACCGTGATAATGTACTAAAACAACTATAAAAAATGGAAATAAAAAATAATAAAGATGACCAAAAAAAAACTAAAAAATGAAAATGAATTCGAAATTAAATATTAAAACATTAAATATTAACAAAAAATAAAATAGTCTATAAAAATAACACAAAGTTTCAAATTTTTTCACATTTCTCATTGAATAAGTTAAATAACTAGCACTGAAAATTTAATGAAAATGTATAAAAACTATATATATATATATAAAATGCAATAAAATTATCAAAACTAAGTAAAATTATTTTTTTTTAAAGTTCAAAATATTAATAAAAACTATAATAGTATTATAATTACACTAAAATAACACTGATAACAGATTGAAACATTTGAATGTCTCTTTTTTATATATTTTTCCCTTCGGAAATGTTTATTACTGAATATGTATAATTCATAGTGTTTACATGTACACTTTGTAATTTGTATAACACAGGTTCACTATCTCTGCAGTCATTGTGATTCTGCCAAACATTCTAGTTTTCTCTAAACGGTTGGTATGTGATTACGAGGAGTAGCTGCTGTAATGAGTCACCTGTTCCGTGGGCGTCAGTGTTTGCGGTCAGCAGCTCCAGACTCACACAGGTGTTCAGCAGACGCTCGATGCCATCCTCACTGCAGCCCAGAGCCAGAGCCAGATCAGACGCAGACGACTGAGACCCCTGCAGATGCTCAAACACACCCAGCTCACACGCACAGAACAGAGTCTGACACACACACACACACACAAAGGGATTTACTGTCACATGGCTCACAAACATCAGTGCAGAATCACTCACTAAACTCTACATCTACAACTGTTTTACACTAGTGACCCTGCAGCACAAAAGCAGTGTTAAGTCGCTGGGGGATATTTGTAGCAATAGCCAACAATACATTGTATGGGTCACAATTATACATTTCTCTTTTATGCCAAAAATCATTAGGATATTAAGTAAAGATCATGTTCCTTGAAGATATTTTGTAAATGTCCTACCGTAAATATATCAAAACTTAATGTTTGATTAGTAATATGCATTGCTAAGAACTTCATTTGAACAACTTTAAAGATGATTTTGTCAATATTTAGATTTTTTTGCACCCTCAGATTCCAGATTTTCAAATATTGTCCGATCCTAACAAACCATACATCAATGGAAAGCTATTTATTCAGCTTTCAGATACATCTCAATTTCAAAAACCTGACCCTTATGACTGGTTTTGTGGTATTATATATATATATATATATATATAATATA